GTGACTTTTCAGGAGCTTCAGGAAAAATCTGATTCAACTTAGATTCTCTGAATACAACGTCTCTGCTGTAAGTTACACTTCTAGTATCCGGATTCCACAACTTATAACCTTTGACGCCATCCTTGTACCCAATAAAGATACACTTTTCAGATTTACTGTCAAGCTTGTTTCTTTTCTCCTTGGGTACGTGCATATAAGCTTCACAGCCAAACACTCTGATATGAGATACGTCTGGCCTTTTTTTAAACAGTGCTTCATACAGAGTCTTCTCCTTCAAAGCTGATGTAGGAGATCTGTTCTTCAGATAACAAGCAGTAGCCACTGCCTCTGCCCAAAACTCAGTTGCCAAGCCTGCACCGCTCAGCATACTCCGTGCTTTCTCCATGAGAGATCGATTCAACCTCTCTGCCACCCCATTCTGTTGAGGTGAGTAGGGCGTAGTCTTCTGTCTTACAATCCCATTGCTCGCACAAAAATGGTCAAATTTTGTTGAACAGAACTCCCCTCCATTGTCAGTTCTCAGCACCTTGATTTTTTGATCAAATTGATTTTCCACCAAAGTCTTGAACTCGCAGAATTTATCGAACACTTCATCCTTGCTGCGCAAGAAATATAACCACACATATCTTGAAAAATCATCAGTAAAAGAAACATAATACCTTGATTTTCCATGTGATGCTACAGGTGTGGGGCCAAACACGTCGCTGTGTATCAAGTCCAGAACCCCCTCAGCTCTTCCTCCTATGGAATCAAAAGATACCCGATTTTGCTTCCCTTGCAGGCAATGCTCGCAAAATCCAAACCCCATAGAGCAGCTTAGAATTCCATCCACCAACTTCTTTGATGTTAGAGTCTCCAGACCTTTTCCTCCAATATGCCCCAGCCTCCTATGCCATAACATAGCAGTGTCCTCCTCCGCCTGTTCTGAAACATAGCTTTCACCACTGAATACTGTGCTACCCAGCAGTTTCCACAATTTACCATGACGCTCTCCTCTTGCAATAACCAAAGCTCCTCGAGTCAGCTTGCAAGAATACTTGTCACTGCTAAAATTAATACCAGCATCTGCCATACTACCAACGAAGATCAGATTTCTGGTAAGCCCCAGAATATGCATCACACCCGGCAGATTCTTGACTGTCCCGTCACTCATCTTCAGCTTTACCTTCCCACGCCCCACAATTGCATGAGTCGTGTCATCTCCCATTCTAACTGTACCGCCAGAATACGATTCATAGGTGCAGAACCACTCCCTATGAGGTGTCATATGAAACGATGCTCCAGTGTCAATAATCCAATCATTACAGTCATTATGACTGTCAAACGCCATGTACAGGTCCCCTGTACTATCATCATCATCCTTCTTTGTACCCGAAGCAGACGGTTGTGAATCATCCCGCTTCTCAGGACCTACACTTTTAATTATGCAATTCCTTCTCAGATGTCCAACCTTTTTGCACCTCCAGCACCTCATTTCAGATTTATCAGATTTATCAGATTTATCACGGGACTTTGATCGTCCCCTCGATCTTCCTCTGTGACCAGACTTTGATTTGTCATCACTCCTCCCTCTAGCAACCAGAGCCTCATTGTTGGTACCTTCAGAACCTACCCTTCTCATCTCCTCAGACAATAAGGCAGCAACAACCGTCTCAAACGACAGTTTATTAACACTAGTACCAATTGACACAATGATGTGCTCCCAAGAGTTGGGCAGTGAACACAACAAGGTGCGAGCTTTGTCTTCCTCGTCCAGGTTAATGTCTATAGACGAAAGTTGTGCACAAATAGTATTAAATTCATTTAAATGAGCAGAGAAAGAATCACCTTCGCTCATCCGCAGATTATACAGCCTCCTTCGCAGGAACAGCTTGTTCACGAGTGACTTGCTCTGATAGACACTTCCCAGCTTCGTCCAGAGATCCTTCGCGGTCTTCTCAGAAGTTACGTTCACCAGAACGTTATCAGCCAGGCATAACCAGATCAGGCTTCGCGCCTTTCGATCGTCTCTGGTCCACGCCTTCAACTCCTTCGACTCGCCATCACCTGACGTTTCTTCACCGACAGGTTTTGTTGGTACGGACGGCTTATCATCTTCGATCACGTACCACACGTCCCTGTCAATGAGCAGAGCCTCCGTCTTCAGCTTCCACAACTCGAACCCTTTTCCTCCGAACTTTTCAACCTCGACCCGTGATTGGCCAGTCGACATCCTCTCCAGATCAATTTCGCAGTTTTATCTATGCCAAGAAAAAACCCTAAATCGCGAAACCCCAATCTGTCACAGGAACCCTGGTCGCAGAACCAAAGCTCTTGATACCAATTGTTGGAAATCAATCTCTCTACTCTTATATCTTTTTCTGTTTTCTCGATTCTGTGTGATTGTCGATTTCCAACAGTTACTTTAAGAAGGAACATGGTGATTCACACGAAACTTAATTCATGAAAAGACTTATGAACGAACGAGATGAGATTTTACCAACTAATATATGTAAAATCTTTATTTTCTCACCAAAAGAGGTGGGTGAATTGATATGACGTTCTTCTTTCACATCTTTCATGCGAAAACTGTATTTCGTGACAAATACCAATATAATTTTTTATATACAGTATATGACTGTATGCTTTGTATACTTAGTATTATGCTTGATAATTGATATATATTGGGCTTTGTTAAGTAATAATGGGAATCGTTATTCTAATTGTAGGTGTTATTTGTGCATTAATTTAAACCTATATGTATTGATTCAATGATTCAAGTAGTACATATCTCATTTCGTTTAAATATTATTTTTACCTTTGAAATAAAGATTTCTATTTGTGAGAAAATAAATATAACCGTTTTGGAAGGGAGATTATATTTATAATATTTTTTCTCTTACAACCACTTTTACGATTGTTGGATTAAAATCAAATTAACTATTACAAAATAATATTAAATAAGAGGCGTTGATTTGATTTTGATCCAACAACCATATAAGTGATTGTAAGAAAAAATATATTGTAAATATAATCTCTCCTGTTTTGGTATTTTTTATTTTATTTTTGTACCATTCAATATTCTTGAATAAAGTTAAAATATTTCTCATTTTTACAATTAAATACTGATCTGGATAAAATATGGTAGGCCCATCAAAGACCAAATTTCATAGAACAAGGCCCAAACCCACCAGGCCCAGAATGAGGCGCGATGTCATCAATCGCGCATTAGAGGGCGCGATGTTACCATCGCGTTCTAACCGTCCTTCAGCATAACTTCAGAGATAAGGAAGCAATCACATGAACTAATAAAGATCCACCGCGCCATTGAACAAATAAACAGAAGACAGCACCAGCTTGTCACCACTCTACCAATATAGCCTGACATAATGAGATAAGGCTATAGAAGCATAGCTGAACCTGCAACCTCATCTCATCAATCTCCACAATATTAATAACTACATCTTTCTGAATACTTCATCTCAAGTATACTCAGCACCAAGACATATCCCAAGCTGGTCATCTCTCCATTATAAATACACATGTGTTAACTCAAGGTACACATCTTCTACATAATAAAACCTGCTTGAACCATATCTGACTTGAGCGTCAGAGTGTCTTGCAGGTACACCCCGTCTTGTTCCATTGAAGACCCATGGGTTAAAGCTGCTCAAACTGCAAGATGCTCTGACACAAGGCGGTTTAAAGGAAGATCGCATAATCGGCCCCGTTGTAAAATTGGTTCTCATGAAATACTATTGAATGAAAACATAAATCTAATTCAATGCATTTGAATGAAGACTTCCTTAATTAGTTCGCTCCCATTCAATTTTGAATTATAGAGTCATGCTATGTATTCTTAAAATATCTTTCTAATAATGTTTTTAATATTTAATACTTTTCATTTAAAAGTTAAAATATTAATTAGATAAATATAAGATAATTACTGAATTATATCACTAAGGGTTATATCCAATATATAATGTTATACATTTAAATTAAAGTTTAATTATTTTCTTAAAAATATTTAAATCACTTAATTTATTCTATTTAAAGAATGACATATGTCATTTTGAATTATCTTCTTTTAAATTAGTTATGCATTTGTTTTTTTCTAATATTGAATATTTTTTATCTATACTTTTTACATACTTAAACCAATTATGCATATTTTTTTATAATTTTAATTTTTTAAGTATTTTTAATTTTTTAATTTTTTAATTTTTTTTTTCATATTTTACAAAAATTTATGCAATATACGAGAGACTTGTTAGTTAAACAACAAATAGTACATATTAAAAATACAAAATTATTGCATACTTATGAAACATCAATTAGTATATGCCTTACATAAACATTTATCAAAAAAGTTAATCACACGTGCATAAATTCAAGACACACCAACTTAAAATTAATGATTGAGATTTTCTTAACAAAAAGCACCCTCACCAACCACTCGCTTGTTGGTTTCGAATTTGACCAATTTTATTACTATGCATGGCATCATGAATCCATTAACCTATCAAGCACTACCTTGTAGGAAACAACCGGCCAGTCCCAATTCCCAAGGGATCTTAATGTGAACAAGAAAATTCAAATTATTTTATTCTTATTTTAGTTTTAACTTTTTCCGAGTAACATCGACATATATCAATTTTTTTTTTAATTATTTCGGACTTGGACAAATCGATAGTAATGGTTTACAATATGATTACCATCTCTTTTATACATTAAAAATAAAATAAAATTGAAATCACCAACCATATGAATCAACCGCTAGAGGATTATTTCAATTCTGCGATCTCGAGTTTAATTTGAGGCAATCAAGCATTGATGAACTCGTGGTTCTCACACAATTAATTGGAGTAATTTATAAACCGATGTAAAAATCTCAAAAGCAAAAAAAATATTTACTTGTAACTAGATCTAGTATATCTGCAGTTCTGCGTATCAAAATGATCTTCGAAATGAAATGAAAAGAGAAACAAAAGAACAAATCTACAATTTTAATAAGCAAGTAATCATTTTGCTGTAAGCACTGGATTCAACTGAAGATGCCTAGGTGGTGCCATGGTTCTTCTCTTCCATATATTAATTTCTTTCCGTGGCTGCAAATTTGGTATATTTCTTCCAACACAAGCACCTGCACCTACCAGAATAGGTGCAGAGAAAGGGATTATGATATCTTCTTCTTCTTCATCTTCATCTTCTTCCTCTTCTTCCTCTGCATCACTCTCTACTCTGTCTTCATCCGAATAACAATCCCTTTGATCCATTTCCTCTGGCGCTATCTGAGCCCTCCAATCAAAATTAGCAAAAGTCTCACGTCCACTTGCAAAACGCCTCATTTCACCCATTGGTGGTGCAACCGCAATACCCTTTTTCCCTTCTTCACCAACCGAAGCAGAATCAGCATCAGATTTTCTTGTCTTTGTTTTCTGTTTGGCCCCATTGAAGAACATCCTCTGAAACTTGTTCGAAGCATGTTTCTTTTTTACCTCTGTGTCTCTGGGAGTTGAAGAAGCACTGCTAATAACAACTGATCTCGTAGTTTTAGGCATTGACATGCTCTTAGCCTTGGCTTTTTGAATCTGGTTCTTCTTGTGCTTGATCTGTCCCATGCAAGAGATTTTTGGTGAAGTGGGTTCATGAGTTTCAATGCCCCCATCTTTTGGTTTTCTTCTAGCTTCATAGGGAATCATAATTGGGCCTGAGAATCCCTTTCCCACATGAGATTTAAGCTTCTCTGATCTCCTACTTGGGCTGAAAGGAGGGTTTTGAAATGTCACAGTGATTGCAGCTGCTGCTTTTGGTAGTATCTTCAATATCTTGTTCTTCAGCTTAGACTGTTTCTCCATGATAGCAAAATGATGAAATTGTTGGAATCCGATTTTTTTGCACTACTATAATCAAGATGTATTGTATTTATATATATATGTGCTCCTTTGTTGGTGTTGTTGTTGATAGTTGAAAATATGACATCTCAACAGAGGGTATGTTATGTTTTGTTATGGTATGCTATTTGACATAATAAGCATATAATTTGACTTTGTCAAGAAAGGTAGGAAGAGAGTGAGAGGGTTTGGTCAAATAAAATCGCTGTGACGGGGCAATGACAAATGCCATTTGCGTCGCTCAATAAACATAACTACAAATAAAGACGCAAATGTGAAACAACTTGTATTATAAAAAACAGGTTGCGGTATACACGCGTACTATTTTAGAGTTCTTTGAATTTTAAAAATATTGTTTCGTTTTCGAATATGCTTGTATTTTATCGTGCCGTTTCCGCCCTTAATTTCGTCATCTTCTGATTTGTTACGTTTTGATGTAATCATTAAACATGACACGTGGGGTCCCATAGAAATTAAGGTAACGATGAACGAAAAGGTTTGTTGGTGAAATATTACAAACAAGCCTTGCAATCACTACATAAACGTGAACATTTAAATGGAAACATGAGTGTGAGATATGATTTTAATTATTGAACGCTAAAAATACAAGATGCGGTCATAATACAAGAGATTTACTGCCAATTTATAATAATAAAAGGTATGAATCTAAGTCTCCTTTGAATTAATCAAATTTATCACCATTAATTCTTCTTGATACATAATAATTTCATAACATTAATTAAATAGATAAATTATTCTATTTACTTTTTTTCTGCCTATCACTCTTCAACATTAGATCAGAATTTTAATTAACATTTATCATTTTTATAGTATAGTCATCGTTTTCTCCATCCTATCTTATTACTGTACGAATAAATTAAATTAGTCAGGCTTATTCTCGTTCTCATAGAATAGTCATCGTTTTCTCCATCCTCTTAATTATATTTAATTTGGTCAAACCTACTATTAGTATTGCTTCCGGATTTCATATGTTTCCTACTACGTAATTTGTGCAGGGAAAGGGGGTAATTGAGCACGTCCATATCCTGAAAATTCAAATTAAGTCATGAATTTAATTTCAACAATGAATTTCCACATAGCTGTTTCAACTTGGAAATTTTGAATTGACAGTTTGAATATTTTATTTATCCATGAGACTGCAACTTTGTAAAGTAATATTATTTGATTACCACCTTTTTAATTAAGTATGTATGAATGGAGATTACGGGCTGACGAAAAGCGAATGGATTTTTTCCACAAAAACAAGGTGATATTAAAGGATTGGCAAGTTTACATTGGAACAATAAACTAAGCTAATGTTCTACAAGAAAAGAAAAACTAAATTAAAGTTGAAGAAAAATGCATGAGGAGGGACACAATGTCAAAAACGTACGGCATGCACTTGCACAACATCATGCTCATGCATTGTATAAAAAACTTGCACCTTCCCCCCCCCCCCCCCCCCCCCCCCCCCCCCCCCCTTACATTGTATGACTAAAATTGCATAAATATATTTTAGTTGTATTGACTTGATATTTTAGTCAGGTTGTATGGGACTATTCATCTCAATATATAACCTATTTTTAATAATAACCGGCTCAAAATTCAAACAGCGTAATATTTTATCCCCTTATGACCAAGTTTGAGTATTGGTATATGGGATAAGATATTGTGACAACCAAATAATGTTACTACCAATGTTACTACCACATCTTAACCGTTGATTTCTGTCAATCAACGGTTATCATTTATTGCGAATTAATAATTAATTAATGAGTTTGATTTGAAAAATGATAACCGTTGATTGACGGAAATCAACGGTTAAGATGTGGTAATAACATTGATAGTAACATTATTTGGTTGTCACAATATCATATCCCTTGATATATAATCGTTTTACGTTGTGGGTTTGCAATATATTACGTTATATATGAATCATTTACAATATATGTTTCCCAATCAGTTTGGGCATTGGTATTTTATCCCGAACAGCATAATGTAAATAATCAAGACTAACCTATGCAATATACTGATCATGTTAACGGCCTCCTAGAAATCAGTCTCACAACATAAATTGTGGGTATTGGTTATGCCGCTTTGCTTAAAAAATATGCATTCTATTTTTTAGATAAATTATATTATAAATAATAATATAATGGAAAAAACACGAAAATTTATATTAACAATCCAAGATTAAATAAATTCAGAAATGTACTTGTAGGTAGGCATAAAATGAATATAAAAGCAAGCAACTAGAGAGGTTAAAATAAATCGACATTGATGGAATGACCTAAATCGTCCCTTAAAGAATACAAGTAGAGGTGATCAACTTCCATTTTCACCGTGTAAAACCCAAACAATGCCCCTTTGATATTTTTGTTTTAAAATTATTAAACATGCTTAATTATTGCAATGTAATAGTTTAAGGGGTTAATTGTTCCAATTGAAAGTACAAGGTAAATTTTTGAAAAAACACTAACTATGGGGTGGTTTCATGTAATTTATCCTATAAATTTTGACTTGTATATTTTTAAAATATTAGTTCTTAAATATATATTTTTTATTTTTTATTCAAATATTGTTTTAAATTAAATAATTTAAAATGAATTTCTATTTATTTTAATAATTTTTTATTTTTTAAAACAGGAATAAACTTAAATTTTTTAATATATTTTAATTAAATAAAATATTTAAATTAATAATTTAAACTTACTTATAAAAACAAGTTAAGAATAAAAAAGCGAGTGTTTGGACTTTGGACCCAAATAGGCCGCAGTATAAGATTGGGCTTGATTAAGAATTTGATAAAACAAATTAAATTTGGCCCAGCTTGCATTTTATGTAGCCTGAAATGACATCCTTCAATATAATATAATATTTATATAAATACTTTATGACATTTGATTTTATAGGTATGTATAAAAATAAAATGAATATAGGCAATGGCCGGTGATATAGGTGGTGTTTTATTTTTTTGCGAGTCTTGGGAGTTAGGAGTTTCAGCGTAGCAGCTAAGCTCTCTTCTCTGTTCTGTTTCAAGAATGTAAGTTGTAGCTACCTCTCTTTTTTTCTATCAAAATTTGGTGGGTTATTATTGCTCCTCTTCAAAAGTAGTCTCCTTCGATAATTGCCACTGTTAAGCTTCGCATTTATAATTAGGTAAAAAGAACACCATGTGTTTGCGAAAATGTCCAAATGATGCTTTTTGAATTTTGATAGACCGTGATTTGAAATTGAAAGAAATGTGGTTTTGTTTGTATTTAAGTAACCAGATGGGTGAATTGAACTCATACCTCAGCTGATTTAGCAAGTTGTAGTTTTGTTCTCAAATTTCCAAGCACAAAAGATTGTTGCAAATGTTTTGTCTATTCTCTGAAATGGCTCCTTCCATGGATTTGTTGGATAGTTTCTCCATGGATTTGCAGGACTTTCTTATCCGTGCTCGAGTGTTGAAGCTTTACAGGCAAGCATTGAGAATTGCTGGTCGAGCCCCTACTTCTGCTAGAGGTGAATGTCCTTGATTATTTTGGCCATTCTTGTATCCAAATCATGATTTTTGTGACGTTATGCATAATTACATATAGTATTATTATAATCAAAGTTAATCATGATTCATAAGCATATATTTCTGAACCGTTAATTGAAGCTGGAAAAATTGAAAGGATAATTTCGGCCTTACTTTCTATATGTAAGGGTTGAGAGAATATGAAGAATTAGTATACAAGGTTTTTCTCATATTAAAAAATAAAGTATATGTAGTTGCATGTTCCTGAGAATTCTAGAGAAACCTTTTCTTGAATGTGATACTTTTACATGTGGGCATGCATAAATTTATTAATTTGGATTGTTTGATATTGTCTAGTCATCAAAGTTTCAGGTTGGTTCGTAAGAATTATTTGTCCCTACTCTATTAATTTTACATTGAAAATTACAGTGTTAAGAATGTATATTGAAATTTTTCAAGTCCATTGATACATGCATATAAATTTCATGACGTTGGTTGAGATGCAATGGACTGTGCAGCTGAACTGAGACAGACAATTAGACAAGAGATGGAAAATAATCGTAACTGCAATGACAAGCGGAGGATCCGTTACTTGATCAGTGAAGGATTGGATCGTTTGAAACGATTGGATGAAATGCTTGATATGCAAGGTCACTGACGGTGAATGTGTATCGGTATGTCATAAAATATCTCCCCCTTTCCAGAACCGTAAGAAGATGCTTTCATGTATATTAACTAGCAATTCCAAATGATAAGGGGAAAAAAGAAAAGAAAATAATACTAGTAGAGGCTTGTTTCCTGGTTCCTTTACCAATATTAGGTTTTCATCCAGCGTTAGTATTTTTTTTCTCTTTGTGGTGGTATTTCGGGCTTTAATCTGGCTACTTGTTAGATTTCTAACAGTTTTTAACATTATTTTGGCCAATAAGTTTCTAACAGCTTTAATCTGGTTACCTGCAGAATTATGAGTTGAAAATATGAACCAAGAAGTATATGAAAGCTTAGTTCCTCTGCCGCAGCAATCACAAAGGGTGAATGGAAGGACGACTTCGGATGGAAACTGATTTTTATTGTATTAATTCTTTCAGCTTTGATTTCAATATGAATATTTAACTTCCGAGTTCCAACTCAGTTTCTGTGAGAAGTGCCTAATTTGTTGTTTCAGTAATAAAACTAAGGGCAATATTTGTTCTTATGTCCATACATTGATACTTGTGTTTTTTTTTTTTTTCTTCTCTCTCCTGCTGGGCCTCACTTTAAGTTAAGTGTGTAGGAGACAAAAATTTGTTACCATCACATAAGAGTAGGGTTGGCAAAACGGGCCAACCCGGCTCGACCCGGCCCAACCCGCATTCAACCCGTAAAAATCGGGTCGGGTTAGGGTTGGCTCGAAAAAATAAACGAGCCAGAAAACCCAACCCAGCCCAACCCGAGCCGGGTTAGGGTTGGCTCGATAATCAGCTCGTGGGTTGGCTCGGAAAAAAGCTCGCGGGTTGGCTCTAGGAGAAGGAAGAAGATTCTGAAGAAGAGAAAAAATTCTAAGTGTTGAGCGCTAAAACGTTCATCCAGAACGTTTTAGCGTCCTGCTACAGAAAGAAGCCAAAAGATGCTGGTCTGGAGCGCTAAAACGTCCATCCAGAACGTGTTAGCGCCCTGATGCTGGAAAAGGATTCTGGTCTTCAGCGTTAAAACGCTCAAACCAAACGTTTTATTTTTTTTAATTTAAAAAAAATATCCAACTCGCGAGCTGGCCCGTTTAACCCGAGGGCTGGCTCGTTTGGATTAGGGTTGTATCAGGTCGGGTTGTATCGGGTTGGCAGCTCATTTAGGCCAACCCAACCCGACTCATTTAGGACGGGTTGGCTCGTTTTTGCCAACCCTACATAAGAATATAATTACCCTAAAACTAATGTGAATGTCTCATCAATATTAAACCTCCAAGTACCAATTCGTCTCATCTTTTGCTTAGAGCGTGTGAGAAGTTTAAAGGCAAACGGAGAGCAGAGCTAGTTTGTCATTTATAAATTAGGAGAATCATAAAATGTTTTTAAAAATGAATAAGGAATCTTTCAGGGGGCGCTTGGTTTAGGAAATTTTTTTGGAATAATAGGGAAATGAAATAGATAGAGAAATGATTGAAAAGATAGATAAAGTGAGATAGGTAGAAAAATGTAAAAGAAAGTTATTTGGTGGAGAAAAACTTTACTGGGAAAATTAGATAACTTTATGAAATCAACAGTGCATTAAAAGCCAGATAATCGGTTTTCCGAAAAATCCCACCTTCAAATTGAATTTCTAAACAGTGCGGATATCTATGTTTCTCATAAATCCAGACAAATTGGATAGATGAATTTTTGGTGAAAAACGTTGAAACAAACATGGTATTTCTAAAAGCCATACTTGAGAAAGATAGATATCCGTTAAAAAACTCTCAAGCAAACACCACCTTAAGGTTTAAATGATCATCTACCAACGCACGTGGGTTCTGTTTAAGAGTTTGCACTTCCTAAGTGAATAGGTACTTGCTTTACGTGATTTCCAGTATGCAACTAGCGCTATTATGACCTGCAGTATTGTAATAATCTATTCTTATTGCCATTTATTTTACCCAAAAATAATATTCCCATCCTGAAAAATCACTCAAATAAAGGGAGTGCTTACCTAAAATGAAAAATTACCAATCCCCTCTCTTCCTGGCTTCCTGCCAATTCCTTTCAAAATATATCTTTAAAGATGAAGTTAGAAGTTTTCCAGTCTTTCTTTCAATAATAAGGTAAAGTTGATAATTTATTAGGATTTTCTTCTCTAGAGGGATCCCAACCCTCCTCGTGGTCATATTTTCCATGCTATGTATCATAATTGGATTGAATTACTATTTTAATTGTTTGCTATTTAGACTATTAAATATGTGGATCAATTGACACGAGATTATTTCAATTTAACAAATAATCTCGAATTTGAGGCCTGTGTTATCAATATGATATTAAAATTATTAAGAGGGGATAATCTGTGTTGATAATATTCATAGTTTTATGAAATACATATTACAAATTGAAACATGCGATAACACAAAATTAAAAGTGTATCTACGAAATTAATTAAATGTAATAAGGAAAATCTAAGCCTAGTGTTAGATATTGTGTCCTTAAAATAATTTTGCTCTCTTTATGGTACTCAAAATTCATGGACAATTGTCTAATAGGATAGAATAGATTACCTCTATTATTGTGGCGGCACTTCCACATTGAATAGCTCAATCGAACTCAACTTATATTTGACTAATCGCACTAGAGTAGAAGAATGCAAATACAAAGAATATATAGAATCAATGGAAAAAAAATACTTTAAAAATCTTGACTCTTTATTTATTTATAGAAAATGTAGAGTCACGATTTAAAAGATACCCATTCAAGGATGACACGTCTATTCAAGGATGACATATCTTTTCAAATCAAAGTTCTTATTCATAAACAAATTAATTCTAAATTAATTCCAACAACATGTGCAAGTAGTTGTGTTAAAAATTTGGTAGAAAGAACTTTTCGCGGGAGTGATATACTGATCGAAGGTAGAGAAATCTAAACAAATAAAATTTAATAAGTGTTTGCTCTTGTTAAGAACCACTTCAACCCAAAACCTTAAGGTGTTAGGTGAGGGCCTTTTTAATACTTTTTATTTTATTCTCTAACACACCCCCTCCCGCAAGAGCCCTTTGGGCTTGAAGCGTGAATATGGCACAAGCCCATTATTGGTCTGCCTTGTACTGCACAAGCCCATTTTGTTGGTCTGCCTTGTGTTTTTCTTAATTCCACATGAAAGTGGGGGGCGGTGATGATCGAACTCGTGACCTCATGGTCCCTGAAGCTTTCACTCTATCGATACTGACCCGACGGTAGCCCTTTCCCCCTCTGGGCGGCTTCACTCACCTATCAGTATTCAGTGCCCAAAGGCACCTTAATCCAGCCTATAGGTAGCCCTTTCTGTGGCCTCAACTCTCATGAAAGCACCAATTGTTACCGACCTTGAGGTCATCACCCCAAAAGCTAGCTCAAAGGGTGGGAGTGTCCAAAGTCTTTTAAACCCCACATTAGTTTCCTATATAACCAATGTGGGACTTGTAACATCCACCTACCTGTGCGAACAAAGAAATTTCACTTGAAAGAAAGTGAGGGACGACGAGGCTCTTATACCATGTTAAGAACCACTTCAACCCAAAACCTTAAGGTGTTAGGTGAGGGCCTTTTTAATACTTTTTTTTTATGCCTTGTGTTTTTCTTTTTTTTTCTTTTTTTTTTTGATAACATTAAGGGGCGAAGCCCCAAACAAAAACAAACAAACAACCAGAAACAAAAAATAACTATCCAGGGTCTATATCCCTACAAGAGGAGATTCCCTGAAGATCGTGATCAAATAACTGAGCAAGGTGAAACGGCATAACTCTATGACTCCAGAATCCAGTATCTTTGTGAAGAGCAGACTTGACTAACCAATTTGCACAGGAATTAGCTTCTCTTGGAATATGAGAAAGCGTTACCTCCCAATCCTGACCGATGAGTGCTTGTATCTTAGCCACTATACGAGGCTGACAAGATGCATTGCAATCAGCAAGCAAAGAGAATACTTCAGAAGCATCTCCTTCTAGTTCCACCTTCTTAAATCCCAGTTGCCAAACCAATTCCAGACCTTTTAGAGTTCCCCAAAGCTCCGCCATTAAAGGAGTGCAAGCACCAATATGATACTCAAAGCCTCCCAACCAAGAGCCATCATCAGATCTGATAATCCCACCACAAGCAGTCACCTCAGTATTCCTTTCAACTGCCCTATCAATATTAATCTTTACCCAATTTAGCCTTGGAGGTTTCCATAAACTCATACGAGTTGGATGAATGCTAGTAGTAGCCATAGCCTTCCTACCCATGCAGTTACGAACTTCCTCTATATACATAGCAATTATGTGCGTTCCATGGGTTGGATGCTTGAAGTTAGTATCATGGACACTTTTGTTCCTCCATCCCCAAATGAACCAGCAAGAGATAAAAAAGACATCACGCCAATCATCTGAATTACTTTGATTCCAAGCTTTTGAGATATTATTTTCAACCCAATCTCTAAGATCCAAGCTGTAGAATAAGCTTTGCCGATTAGCTGAAACCAGAGAATTCCAAACACTTCTAGCATGCTTACAATCTCTTAGAACATGGAGATTTGTTTCCAACTCACCAGGACACATTTTACAATGACCAGATTCCCCACTCCATCTAGATGTGCGGTCTTTAGTAAGAAGGCGGCCATGCATTATGATCCACATACAAGATTTAACACGTTGAGGCCCATGCCATTTCCATATGGTAGTCCAAGAATTTTTCAACGGCATGAGAGGGAAACCAAGCATGTTATAATACGCGGTTTTAACTAAAGAGCAGCCAACCTTTTGATTTCTCCAAATAATGCGGTCATTTCCATCCGATGCGCTAGGAATGAGAGCAGCTTGGATCCTTGCAACAGCTTGATCATTGAGATATTGACGAATATAGGGAAAGTTCCATTGACCAGTATTGCTGTTCACGAAGGCACTAACAGAGAGATTCAACTCCAAACCTGTTGGAGTACGAGTAGCCAGAGAGGCAAGACACTCAGTTAAACCCAACCAATTGTCTGTCCAAAATAATGCATCATTACCGTCTCCAATCTCCCATTGCATTGCTTGAAGAAAAGATGGCCAAACACTACATAGATTTTTCCAGAAGTATGAGTCATATGCTTTATGATTTACTTCCCTCCGAAGATCCAAACCTCTCTTATATTTACTTGTTACAACTCGAACCCACAACGAATCGGGCGAAGTAAGAATCGTCCATGCAAGCTTATGAAAGAAAGCCATATTTTGGACACGAAGGTTAATCACCCCTAAGCCACCCATGCTCTTAGGCTTGCAAATATTATCCCATGCAACCAAATGAGATCTCCTTTGACCATTTTTATCACCCCAAATAAAGGCACGCTGCAACTTCTCTATTTCATCACAAATGGCTACAGGAAGCAGACTGTGTTGCATTTGAAATATAGGAGTTGCTGAAATAACGGAGTTGGAAAGAGTAATTCGACCGGCAAAAGATAAGACCTGGTTACTCCAACCAGATAACTTGTGCCTAATTCTTGCGACAACATCAGCATAATGGTCTTTGGTTACTCGACCATGTTTCATCATGGACCCAAGATATCTCCCTATATTGTGTGTTTGCTTGAAGCCACACACATTTGTGATATCATCTGCAATGTGAGCATCTGTATTTTTCGAGAAAAAAATACTACATTTCGGAATACTAACCTTTAGGCCAGACATTGAACTAAAAGTCTCCAAGCAATCCACTATAACTTTGATTTGATCTAGAGAAGCTTCTGCAAACAGCATCAAATCATCAACAAACATCAGATGGGCTATCTTAGGACCTTTTGATCCCACGGAGATTGGCTTCCATCTCTTATTGTCAACCGCATCTTGAATGAGATGAGACAATTTTTCCATGGCTAGAACAAAAATGTAGGGAGATAAAGGATCACCCTGACGAACTCCTCTTGAAGGAAGGAAGTCACTTGCAATGGCTCCATTCCAAAGTACTGAGACCTTATCAGAGTTGATACAATTCATGATAATATTTGTGAACTAGTGTGGGATTTGAATTTCATCCAAAACTTTACGAACAAACTCCCAATTTAACATATCATAAGCCTTTTCCAAGTCGATTTTAATTGCCATGAAACATTTTCTTCCTCTCATTCTACGCATTGAATGGATCAGCTCTTGGGTGATGATGATGTTGTCCTGGATATGTCGTTTAGGAACAAAACTAGCTTGGAAGGGAGACACCATCTCTTCCATTAGGGGCTTCATTCTGTTTACCAGAATTTTACTGAGGATTTTATAAATGACATTGCACAAAGAGATTGGTCTGAGCTGCTTAGCACTTTCAGGTCTCTTTACTTTTGGAATGAGGACCAGAAGAGTCGAGTTCACAAGGTGAATCAGATTGGGATTCTGAAACATCATGTTAACATCCTTAATAACATTAGTCTTAATAAGACTCCAATTCTTATGAAAAAAGGCAGCTGGAAAACCATCTTCCCCTGGAGCTTTTGACCCATTGATACTAAAAACAGCTTTTGAAATTTCGTCATCCGAAAGATTACGAGTTAGATTAGATAGCAGATCATCGTGCAGAAGGGGCCAAGTAGTCTTTGTTTTCACCCAATCACGATTAAGGACTTCCTCACTAAACAAGTTACTATAGAAATCTGTTACCAATTGATGAAGTTGTCTAGCTTCCTTCACCCAAATCCCATCAGAATTTTTTAACTCAAGGATCCTATTCGAACTTCTTTGAGTAGCTGTTTTAATGTGATAGAATTTGGTGTTTCTATCCCCATCATTTATCCATTTCACCCTGGCTTTTCGAAACCATAAGATCTCCTCTTGTATGAGAACCGCATCAAGGTCCTTCCTAACCTCCTTTTCTCTAGATTGGAGAGATAAGTTGGTATGATAATTAACATGATTCTGAATTTCTGCAATACTATGCAATAAGTTAGTCTTCCTGTTGAAAATGTTGCCAAAGACTACCTTGTTCCATCTTTTTAAATTTGGAGTCAGATCATGCAGATTCGTTCTAGTGTCTTTCACAACATTCCAGCTCCTAGCCAGAAACTGAGTAAAGTTATAATGCTCCATCCAAGCAATCTCAAAGCGAAAGGGACGATTTTTCCAACCTGTGTCCAAGTTAGTCAAGTAGACCAAAATGGGACTATGATCAGAATAAATCCGTGGAAGTACCTTAACGCCAGCATCAGTAAAGGTAGTCTTCCAACTTGCATTAGCACAGGCTCAGTCCAGCCTCTTAAAAACACGATCAAGATGAAGAAACTTCGGACCCTTCCATGTAAACCAAGGACCCGATCCTCCAAGATCCAGCAGCTTGCAATTATGAAGAACATTTGCAAAATTGGAACATCTGTTTAAGTTAACTCTACAGCCACCTTCCTTCTCATCACGATTTGCTATTTCATTAAAATCCCCAGCCACAACCACGACCCATTACAATGGAGACTAATGTTTAGCAGATCATCCCATAACTCCTTTCTATTTTCTTCCCTAGGACTCGCATAAACTGCCGTGCAAGAAAAGGAAGGAACATGAAAATTCTGAACTTTAAAATGAACAAACTGTTTTGTGTGATTAACAATTTCAACGAGACCAATCTCATCATTCCAGAGGATCCAAATACCCCCTGAGTAACCTTCTGCCTCTTGAACAAAAGCATGCTTAAACCCAGATTTTCGGATAATGTCAGAAGCTTTTTGACCACTACACCGAGGTTCTAGAATCACTACAATACTAGGCTTATATTTCCTAGTAAACAGAAAAAGCGATTTGTGAAACTGGGGTTTCACTGCTCCCCTACAGTTCCAGAAGAATAAATTCATTAAAAACTATGTTGAACGCAAGACTCCAAGGTTCTTGCATCCTTCATTCTTGAAATATCTTCCTGGTGAACTCTGTCCACCTCCATGCACGTAGAGATGGTTGAGGTTTCAGGATTTTGGATGTCGCTGTTGTTGTCAACTGATATATCAGGACCAGTTTTATGAAATGTGCCATATAACTGCTCTTGATTCTGGTTCAAAGTGCTATCTGCTTTCATCCCATTTTCCTGATCATGTTGATTTGCTTGGATAGGACTAACCGCCATGGGAGTAGCAATTGATGGAGATGGTGGAACGGGAGCATGATCTTCACGATTTTCACTCTAGACTGGACACCTCTTACCCGTGCTTGAAGAAGGAGCCGCATGCATAGTAGGAACCGTTGAATTAGTCCTAGGGGTATCTTTGGACTTTTTGGATTTAGTCCATATTTTCTGAGGAATTTCAAACTGAGGGGCCCCCCATATGAGGAGTAACAGAATTAATTATTTGATTATGATCCTCCTCATTAATAGGTCCAGCTGTTAAGATTGCAAACCGTGATTGCGTAATTTCCTCCTTATCACCATGATTATCTCCATGATTATCGCTGGTCATAACTCCCTTATTACCATGATTACCATGATTATCGCTGGTCATAACTCTCTTATCACCATGATTATCTCCATGATTATCGCTGGTCATAACTCCCTTATCATTATTCCTTTGTAACGTTTTTGAACCAGCGCCTGGCTGGACTGCACCGGCTGTCTGAGGAGGTTGCCGGCTCCTGCGTTGACGGTTAACAACCATCCAAGGTCCCAATCCTTTGCTTCGATGGAATTTTGAGTTGTCAGGTTCCTCTTGATGAATTTGATCGTCAATATGAATATCGGATGAACTGCGTTGCTTTGGAGCAGCTGAACAATTCTCGGTGCTATGTCCATATTTCCCACAACCAAAACAAATGAGCCCTAATCCTTCATACTCAATTTGTTTGGTAAATCCTTCCAGCACATAATCACCCTTTAATGGCTGAGATAGGTCCAGTTCCACACATATTCTTGCAAACCGTCCTCTTACATGAGCATTTGTATTGCTGTCTACCTTGATCATCTTGCCTAACCAGTTTCCAATCCTTCTAAAAAAGCTTCATCATAGAATTCAATGGGAATATCCGGTAGACGAATCCAAGCAGCAATCTTAGCAATTCCAGCACTATTAGGTCTGAAAGTTGGTTTCCACTTCCTCAACGATAAATAATGACCCAAAACAATCCATGGACCACCGTTCGACGCAAAATTGAGATCATCCTTCTCACTAAACTGGACTACGAAAAAGTCATTACCAATATCAGTGACATTGATTTTGCCTTTTCTAGCCCATAAGACATTTATTTTTTTCTTCATAAACTCCACCCCAATTTTCTTCCCAAGGAGTTTAACAATCAGAGCTTTCTCCCAAGGTTTCCTCATTCTCTTCCTTGCTCTTTTGGTGCAACTAAAATAAGTACGCCCATCATCTTCCTCCCACATCTTAATTCCTCCATGGTTGACATCCTCTTCCTCAGCAGGTTCCTCCCCATCTAAGTCTTCCTCAGCAGACGCCTCTCCTTCCCATTCATCATCTTCTCCATTATGAAGCATCAGAATTTCCCTCCAGGTTGAACGTTGGCCATTCTCATCTTCCATCCAACCTTCATGTCTAGGTATCATAGATACATCATTTGAAAACTGATCTCCCTCACCTTTATTCCTCTTATTACTTCTTTGAAGAATGTCAAGTTCTTCACTTGATTTGCCAGGATTCTTCCCATGATCACCTTTCTCTCTCTCACTCATCGCTCAATCACAGAAAGATTTATTTTTTGCCTTGTGTTTTTCTTAATTTCACCTGAAAGTGGGGGGCGATGAGGATCGAACTCGTGACCTCATGGTACCTGAAGTTCTGATACCATGTTAAGAACCAATTCAACCCAAAAGCTTAAGCTGTTGGGTAAGACTACATTAATGGTTTTATATATCTCAACAGCTCTCTAGTCATTGCATCGGATTTGGGTTGCATTAGACTAATCAAAATCTTCAATTATAATAATCCAATTAGGATAAAACAATTAGACTAATCATTTTGAATTTATAGATTTAGAATAAGTCGAACAAGTCTTATCTCAATAAGCTAGGTGGGTTACACAAGAAAACTGTATGTGGCCTATAACAAAAGAATACAAATTAGGCTCCATATTATTCATGAGAGTTAAGCCCAAAGGCCCACTCATTCATTATTCTTCTAATCTTTTTTAACGTGGAATAAACAATGGCGTGATATTCAGAAAGAGAAGAGAAATGAGGGGAAAGGTGGAAACATGGCGAAGCATTTGGATTCATGTGAAAGTAAAACGCGCAATTCCTTTGCGGCTATTGCACGATGGGCCCGACACCGTAGAGGAGCTTCTGGATAGGCATCTAGTGAAGAAAAACAAAAAGGAAAACGACGACGAAGACGAGTTGCTGAATCGGAGGCGACTCACCAGCACTCGCCGAGAAGCGCTGAGTCTTTACCGTGACATTCTTCGGGCCACCCGGTTCTTCATGTGGCCAGATTCCAGAGGCGTCCTATGGCGTGACGTCCTCAGAGACAACGCCCGAAGAGAGTTCGAAGAGGCCCGATTCGAGTCCGACCCGGAAATCGTGACCCGCTTGCTTATCGGGGGCCGCGAGGCCGTCCACTCCGCTATTGATAAACTCGCCGAGAAACAGAGGCAACAGATTCAGAAGGATCGAGGTGGTGATCAACGGTGATCGTTCAAGGTATTGGAATTTTTCTTATTTTTGAAAATCTTGATATGTGTTGGATCCTGTACTTAAGATTGTTTGTGTACGAGGTTTGCCTTATTTTCAAATGTCTTTGGTAGATATAACTGTATGCATGCTTTTAACTGCTTCTGGATCTTGAGATCTGTTCATTTAGTTGAGGGATTGATTGTACCTGTAAACTGGCTAATAGTTCAAAGAAATGTTGTATATTTGTGAAATTCTTGTTTTTTGCTAACCACAGGAATGGTTATGATAAATTCAGCATGTCTTAAAGTCCTGAAAGTGAAGGATTAAGATCAAATTAATCACTTTATTAAAGTTTGTCAGGACACGACTAAAATTTAACAAGCCTCTTCATGTCCCTGTTATTTTCACTCTTGATAAGGTTGGCTTTGTATCAATATAGTTTGGGGATTCTCATCTGTTGAGGAATCCAAGTGTGAATGATTGAGTGAAAAAAGTCCCACATTAGTTAAGAATGGACTAAGTGAGCACCATATAAGTGGAAGGATCCATGCACCTAATGCCTTAAGGTTTTGGGTTTGATTGTGGTGTTCCGAGCCCATTTAATATTGCTGTTCACTTGGCTCATGGTTGGCGGTCTCTCCCCGCCGTGAGCTCCCCGTGCACGGCCCAACATCATCATAGTCACAAACTCGTGGTAATTAATTCTCCCATCTGAAAAATGAAGCCCAACTGTGAGTCACAATTCTTATCGAGAGCAGAACTATGAAATTATCACCAGAGTTTGGGAAACGATTATAAGAGCCCAAATAGAGTATTATTATGTAACATACATTGTCAGAATCAACGTCCTCTAAGACTTCATTTATAGTTGCTTCATCTCTCTTTTGATATTCAGTCAAAGCTTGTCTAACCTCATCTATTGTTATGTAACTGATAAAATGGAAACAGAACTTCAGGTAAGCAAGACTGTAGTAAGATTCACAATTGAAATAGATGAAAATCTGATATTAATATGAACCGTCACTGGCTTCCATTTCAAGATCTGAATAACTAATTGTTCTGATTTTATGTTACTGAACTCAATACGTGACTTAGTCTTGTATGTATTATGATTAAGCAATATTTATAATCTTCAAATTAATGAACTTTATACTGACCCTCTGTTTTCCTTATCAAAGTATTGAAAAGCCTTATACAAATTCTCTTCCTTCTCAAGTTTATGCCCATCCATAGTGGCATTAATGACTTCATAATAGTCAATAGTCCCATTCTTGTCAACAACAGCCTGACAAAGTTACGTGAAGAAGGAAAAGTATGGACCATAGTCTTGCTTAATGAAGAAGAAAGAGCATGAAAATTTATTTTCTAAATCTGTGAGAGACTGAACTTAGGTAGTGTTTGGTTGGGGAGAAATTTTTTTTTACTAGGAAAATGTAATTGATAGAGAAATGGTTGGAAAGTGAGTTTGGTAGGAAAATGTAAAAAAATTTGTTTGGTTGACCCAAATATTACCAGGGAAATTTATTTAAATATGCAAAATCTATGTTCGGGAGAAACTTTGCACCTATTTTTTCACTTCTTCAGTTATTTCAAAATACCACATCTCAAGTGGTATTATGTAACAGTGAATTTCATCCAAAAATCAACACAAAAGTCATTTTCCCATCTATCCTATTTGTCTGGTATTTTTTGAAAAAGCCTGAACCAAACGTGGTATTTTCCAATATCCACTTACACTTTTCCATCATTCCCAAAATAAACCTTCAACCAAACACTACCTTACAGTATCCATTAGCTGCTTTATTTTGGATTCACTAAGTTTGGAAGTTGGATCCCAATCTGGATAATCCAGATTTGAGTTCTTAAATGTGATTGTGCCACAGTGATCAGTATAAATATTGTTGAACAATTGCTACAAGCCCTTGATTTCTTCCTCCTGAAGGCTTTTTCTATTACATTCCATATCCAAAAATAAAAAAATTCTGTAATCAGAGAGATAGATAGCCAGCCTAAGTATATTATATTTTCTACCTTCTCATATTTTTGTTATACCAAGCAAGTGTAACAACTTCTATCCTAAAATTTTCACCTACCCACCTTCCATTTTTTCAACCGAGTACCAAGTCTGGTTACATTTTACGTGGGATTTTATGCACAACTGAAAATTTTGGGTTGCCTTTAAAGCAAGTTTTTTCATTTTGTTCATTGCTCTGAACTGTCACATCCTAATTAAAACAGCAATGTCTGGAGGCTTGTCGGATGCTCACCTTCCTTTATCCATGGATGTTCTTGTTCAAATGCATAATGTGAATGACCTTAGTATTTATAGTCGTTCTGTAAAATGAACAAACCTTCATACTAAGCATGAGCACTGAATTAATTATGCTTAACTGGATCAAAACTGCAGTCCATATCCAAACCTTCATTGTAAACATGTCACTCAAAGATGCATGATTTTTTTATTGATTAACAAATGGATAGATTAATTTACAGACAAGTAATTTGTTAGTGATAAGCTAGTAACAGATTATTAGCTTAATAAAATTTACATTGTTAAAGAATAACCGAGTTATTTTTAACTGGTATTAAAATGATGTGAAAATTTTGGTATGAATGAATCATGGGGAAATCACTTCTCATGTGAGAGGAAATCTCACTTGTCATGAATCATTTTTCATATTAACCCCATTCCAAAGTTTACATATACAACTGTCAAATTCTTTTACCCGCTATGATTTATTTTATTTTTTTTCTAAAAAGAACTCCCAAACTCTTTTAAGCCCATTTTGTTTGTTTGTTTTTTTTTCCCCCAATCGCTACCCAACAAAAAAAACAATATTTTTTTACAGTTACGGGTGAAAAAGTTTAAACCCAAAACTAAATTAGTCGGAGTGGTTGGTTAAGATTTCAGATATTGGTTGGTGTTAAAAAAAGAAAAAGGAAAAAATAATACTCTAGTCCACACACATCAGCAACAGGTTAACGAGATAACATATAATACAAAAATAATTAAATAAAAATATATTTAAGTTTCATAATCTATTTAGTCCATCACATAAATATTATTATGACAGCCTACGTACAAAGATTGTAGCCGACTTTTGCGTTTAGTCCAATTACAAAAAATTAATAAAAAAAATTCAATAGAAAATTTGGAAATAAAATACATATAAAAATGAAAAAAAAGGAGATGTTATAAGAAAAGCTTAGCAAAGCATAAAGAGGCCCTGAAGAAAGAAAAACGGAATTGAAGGCTCAAGGTAAAAAAATAAGACAAGCATGAACAAGGAAAAAGCAGAACGGAAGAAAAATAAAGTTGCAAGCATGGGGAATGAAATTGGGAAGCGATAGAAGTATTAAATTGTACTATCCTCTCGAATTTGGTTGTCCTTGCTTTGCCAATAAAATCTGAACGAGCTTAGAGGAGGTAGAGAGCAAAAACGAGGAAGAGGAGAGACCTCTTATAACTCCTGGTTCTTGTGGTTCTTTGTATGCTATTAGTTAAGAGTACCAAATCATTTTTTATTTTAAGGATTGAAATTGAATTAGCACCTTAAGTTGTCTATAAAATTAATTCGAAATCAAATTGCAAAAAAATTAGAACAACAAAAGATACAATGTAACCAAAGAGAAGTAACTTCAGCACTTCATGTAAAAAGAATGTAAGTAACCTTGTTCATCAAAAGACCAACGAGCAGTAAAATTTGTAGCGTAAGTATGTCATGGAATTATAGTTTTGCTGTAGTTTATTTATTTTTTTGGGTACATCCCTGTAGTTTATTTATGAGAAAAGCTATACAAAGTTTTGCATTTCGTGTGCCATAAAATTTTACATTAAGGTACACTTGCTGACCAATTCAAGAGAGATTGAATCTCCAGCAACAAGTAGCAAGAAAAATCCACAAACAGCTCCATTTTCATTTGAATACATCACTCGATTAATATCAATGAACTGAACTTATCGTGGTTTGTCTTTCTCATAATTATCCAGGGTCCCCTTTCTCATCATAGCTACAAACTCCTGGTAATTAATGTGACCATCCTGCAAATAAACACAATTCACATGAAGACCAGAACTATGAAATTATAACAGGAATAAAGAAGCTTGGGAAGCGCTTATAAGAGGCTAATAGAGTATAATTAACTATATAACATACTTTGTCAGTGTCAACATCATCGATGACTTCATTAATGGTTGCTTCATCTCCCATTTGATATTCAGTCAATGCTTGTCTAAGCTCATCTCTTGTTATATAACTGATCAAAGTCAGGAAAACAGAACTTTAGCTAAACAAAAACCTAAGAAAAATCACAATTAAAATAGACAAAAAAATATGATACTAATTAATTTATGGGAAAAACTATTCTTATGTCACATGATATAAATTTTCTCTCCTACACACCCTTCGATAACTGTGCCACCTTTTTCTTTTCTGTTTTCAGGTGGTGGAGCCCACTAGTTTGTCTCTATGACATGATATAACTATCTCCTTTAAGATGAGATTAATAAAACCCTTAATTTATATGTACCAATGCTGGCTTGCATTCGCAATCTGAATAACTTTCCAATCAGTGATTCTAATATAATATAAAATTATTAATGTACCATTTATCTAACAACTTAGTTATTGGATTGAAATAATTGTTTTACATAATATCATAACCTATGTGACCAAGTGGTTATGATATGTGTAGTGATCAAACTCACCCGCTGTTATCCTTGTCAAAGTATTGAAAAGCCTTAAACAAATTCGCTTCCTTCTCAAGTTTATGTCGGTTTATAGTGGCAGTAATGAATTCTTGATAGTCAATAGTCCCGCTTTGGTCAACATCAGCCTGAGTAAGCATGTGAAGAAAGAAAAGTGTGTACCATAATTTATTAATTCTCGCATGATAAAGAGAAAAAACAGAAACATTTATTTTCTAAATTTGACTAAGACTAAACTTACAGCATCCATTAGCTGCTTTATTTCATATTCATTTAGCTTGGATCCCAATCTGGACAATCCAAATTTGAGTTCTTCATATGTGATTGTGCCAGTGCGATCAATATCCATATTGTTGAACATTTGTTTCAAGCCTATGATTTCCTCCTCTGAAAGGTTTTCTGCTATTACCTTCCATATCAAGAAATAAAAGTCTATTACTAGAAAGATACTCGATATTTCTTTTCTACCTTCTCATATTTTTGTTGAACCAAGTAAATGTAAAGTGATTTTTATTTTATAATGTTTACCTTCTCACTTTCCACTTATTGATCAACCGAGCACACCTAAGACTAGTTACATTTTATGTGGGAATTGAACATACATATGATTCAAATTTTATGCACAACCAAAAATTATGAGGTACCTTCAAAGCAAGTTTCTTCATCTTGTTCATTGCTCTGAACTGTTTCAGCCTAAATAAAACAGCATTGTCTATAGGCTTGTCAGATGCTTCACCAACTTCCTTCATCCATGGGTGTTCTGGTTCAAATGAATAATGTGAACACAGCTTCATACTATGAATAAACTCTGAATTAATTTTAGTTAATTGGGTTTATACTGCAGAGGACGAGTCTTTCAGTAGCCGTAAGGTAATTCCTTATGACTGGAAGGTCACTTCGAGTCTAGGATACAACCTCTATGCAAAAATGCAAAAGTAAGACCGTGTACAATCGACCCTCACCCTTACCTTTGCAAGTCGGGAAACCTTATGTATCGGGATTTAAATTGTAGTTTGAGGTAAAAAAGTACAACTATTTTCTTTTCTTATTTTTTCTTTTCCAATTCCATACATGGCTGCAAATTTTTTTCAATTGAGAATTGGGGGGGATTAATTTTAGAGTTTGGATCACATACTATAATTGAAAAATTATGAGAATGTAAGTGGGGGGAATTGAAAACGCAATGACATACTTACCTAGGGCATCAGAAGCTGTAATGCGTTTCTTAGGATCAAAAGCCAACATTTTCCTTATCAAATCTTTTGCAGCAGCTGAAATAGAAGGCCATGGTGCACTATCCAGATCGAGCTTACCTCCCGAAATAGCTTCAAATATGCCTTTCTCGTTGTCTAAAAATTGTTTGATAGGTAATATCACTAATGACTAAACCAATGAAAATAAAACTAAAACATGTACCCATCATGATATGCATTTATTTGCCTCATTGTGAACCGAAACAGAGTCATGCATTCTACTTACCAGCCCAAAATGGAGGAACCCCACTTAGGAGGATGTATAAAATAACTCCTGCACTCCACACATCTATCTCTTTTCCATAATTCCGATTTAATACCTCTGGAGCTATGTAGTATGCACTTCCAACAACTTCTTCATACATTTTTCCTGTAAAATTGCTTATTATTTAGTACAATACAATGACTCGATTCACACACACAAATAATAATAATAATAATAATAATAACAACTAATACTCCTATGTTGTATCCGTGCATGACGAGATGTTTTGTTCGTGTGACGTGTCCATCTTTGCCAATGGGACAAAATTGTAACGTATATTCTTCTTTGCAAATTAATTAGGACTATATATTTGATAAAAAATAAATAGAAATGATACTAATAACTAAAGGCTTTTATAAGTTTGGTGGGTCTATTATTATTTATTGTTGAGATATTCAAGTGTGATGAGTCCCACATTGGTTGGTAATGAGCTAAGTGAAGAGTATATAAGTGAAAGGACCCATGAACCCAATGCCTTAAGGTTTTGGGTTGAGACATGGTGTCGGATCCACTTACTACGGTTGGTGTAGTCTTAGCTCATTGGTGGTGGCCCCCGCCACGGACTTCTCAAACTAGAAATTGTACTCAAAATTAAAAACTTGTATGAACTTGAAGAGGGACGTAGCTCCACCACTAGTATTCTCACAGTCAGTAGTACATTATTGATGTTAGAAGACCGACTTGTATGAACTTGAAGAGGGACGTAGCTCCACCACTAGTATTCTCACAGTCAGTAGTACATTATTGATGTTAGAAGACCGTTTACTTGGTTGACTCGATGTTCTGATGATAATAATAATAATAATTGACTTGGTCATATTGATCCATGAAGGAATCTACCAAAGCTTTAACAACTAATTTAACTCGATGATATTTCGGCATGCTAAAGTTATCCCATTTTGAAGCTACCTAACATTCTAACTCAATATTTTTTTTCTTAGTACAATGTCTAATCTAAAGTTGGAATCCAACAAACTTGAAAAAAGAGAAACAATTTGAAATTGAATCCAAACAATCATGTTGTAAATGAACAAAATGCATAAACAAAGATGAGAAATGAAGCAGATGCAAGAGGGCATAGATTGAAGAGGATGCCTCCCTAACCAACCTTCTTAAATGAAGACAGACAAACCAAAATCTGCGGCTTTCAAGGGCGCCTTTTCATTTTTACTAGCAAGCAGTGGCGGACGCAGAAATTTTAATGACGAGGACGAAAATAAAAAATATTATATTATAAACAAAAATATTTAAAATATAATACAGACTTAATATAAAAAAATTAAAAGAAATCTATCACAAAGATTAAGAATACTTCATTTGACTCTTATTTTACGTATTTTCTTATTGTTTAACTCATATATAATTGAATTTGTGTTAAAACTCAAAATAATTTCTTTTTTAATGTATGTAATCAAAGAATCATCAAGAAATTGGTCTTCTATTTTATTTCGAAGCTTGTTCTTGATTTTATTTTACGCATGCGGATCCTGACTTTTTTCTTTCTTTTTAAATGTCAGAATCCACATGTGTAAATATGTATGCTATAAAAAAATTTATATGCTATTGCTGCAGATGAGGCGAACCCATAAATAAATCATGCTATCCATTATCAATAAATTAGATACCCACAAAAAATTTATATGCTATTGCTGCACACTACAATTTTTTAATCTCACAATCACGTGTTTGGTATGAGGTGAAAAAAAAAATTTCCTAAGAAAATAGGGTTGGAAAATTATTTGTCAATGTTTGGTAGGAGGTGAAGTAAAAATATGGCTAGGAAATTTTTTTCCCATCATTTGCTTTTCTATGTAAAATAGTTGGGGAAGATTACTATTGAAGGGGTGGAATTATTTTTTTTTCTTCATGTGGTGGGAAAATTAACACACAACATCATTAAAATTAACTCAACATTCCCGAAAATTTTTTGACCTACCAAACACCTTTTAGTAAATTTTACCCCAAAAGAAGGTAAGAGAGGCTGAGGCGGGTTATTAACTATCACTGAAAATTGAAGAGTAAAGAGGTACTTGAAGAGTGTTTCAAGATCGAGTCCCACGCGCCCCTACAATGAAAATGTTTGTGCTTCCTCTTCAGTTGTCTTTTGCAATTGCAGGCAATTTTCAAAAGTTTGATTTGAGCGGTTGAGATTTTGTGTTTCCTCTTCATGCTCACGCATGTCAGTAATTTACCCACTCGCATATATTTTGTAATATTATTAAAATATCATTTGTATATATAATTTTTTCTCATCAAATTTTAGGGGGGGTGAGGGCCCACCCTAACCCCCTTTAAGTCCGCCCCTGCTAGCAAGCAAGAAATTCTAAGGCTTAAGGTCCCTATGCATCACCCCCATAAAATGACAAGCATGGACCACATTCACAATTTGTTGAATATAGAGGCAGCTTCACCCTCAGAGTAACTACCCTTTTGTTAGAATTTGGATATCCACACAGATGCAAGAGACAACTATACTTGTGTATCTACAAAAAAACTTTTCTTTTCTATTCTTGCTTTCTTGCTCTTTTTCTTTTTCTCTTTGATCTCTTGATCTCTTGATCTCTTGATCTACATTTCATACAAACTATCAAAGGCTATTTATAAGCTATAAAACTGACAAACATAACTCCACACATAACACCCTCATTACTTTATAACTGACATAACTGACTCATTAATATTCTAACTGACACAAGAAACTAAAAAACCAAAACTGCTAAAAATGGACATTTAAAATTTATCCCAACAAAACTCCCCCATAAATTTTGAATTCTTCTTTCTTTCTTCGCGTTGCTTCTACTTTTCTTCAACTTTCTGATCGCGCCTGTTTTCTTCAATCTTGATCACCGACAAAAAACATCTAACACCTTCCAACTTAATTAACTCAAAAAAATATCTCCCCAGCAATTATTTTTCTGAACATATTTTATTTTATCCGGTGGCTTCTTTAATTTGATATTTTCAGTTTCATTAGCAGGACTTTCCTTGTTTCCATTCGCTGCATCTTCTTCACCTGCAAGTTTCTCGTCACCCAAATTCTTCTCAGTTTCATTCGCCACTTCACCAGTTGCTTTCACAATTGCATCATTGGTATTGTCAACAAAATCTCTTTTTCTCTTCAAGACCACATCCTTTTCTTCAAATGCACCTTCCATTTTTTCGCCGTTCTCGGCTCCTTCATTGCCGTCTTCCTCGCATCTCCTCAATGGCATCTCGGACCAGCGACCTATGCCGGTCGCCGACGTCGACCTCGTCACGACGGGGTCGAAGTCTCTTCCAAAACATGAACTCGTTGATTTAGCCGGGATGTCCCCCATCCCGGTTATCAACATGAGACTCGGATTCGCAGTCTCCTCCAAGCCGGTCTCCATCAAGCATCTCGGATTCTCAATCTCCTTTCCGATTTTCGACTCAGTCTCCAGACACTCAGGTTCCACGAAGTCTTCTACCTCGACAGTGGACTCGTCATTCCCGTCCTTCTCTGCTTCGATCTCGGCTCCTTCGTTCTCCTCATCTTCGATCTCGGCTCCTTCGTTCTCCTCATCTTCTATCTCGGCTCCCTTGGCCGCAGTCATCTCCATCGTCTTCTTCTCCGAGTCGTCTCTTACGCGTTCTGACACGTCAATCTCCTCCGCGGATGCGTTGCCGTTGGCAACCTCGGACTCCGCCATATCGATCTCTTCTTCATCCGCATCATTCTCCTCATCTTCATCATCATCATTGATGATTTCATCTTCTTCTTCATCAATCAGATCAAACCGTCCAGGTAAGTATTTTGTTACGAAGGCCATTAGAAAATCCTTCCACATATTATTAAAGTCGCGGCAGTTCCATGTATGGAACCATTTGATTGCACTTCCTCTGAGTCTTCTCATGGCCACCTGCCATTTGTCCTCCGTCCAGGTTTTTTCTTTCCGAAAATGTTCCTTCAAACAGAGAAGCCAATCTAATGCTTCATCCTTATCTCCATGGAAGAGTGGCACCTCTAACTCGCTCTTTTTCCCCATAGCTCTGATACCAATTTGTAGGATCGCTCAAATACAAAACCAACAAATGAAACAACTATTCAAGAATGTCGTGAGGACTTGTGGAGAAAGAGAACAAACTTCTGTGAAATATTTTACTAAATTTCGTTGCTTCTCAATTCTGTGTTTCTCAAACAATATACTAGACTATTTATAGGCTATAGTTTGCCTTTCTAAAACTGCAATACTAAATAGCCATAAACCAGAATTAAAACCAAACTTAATAACAAAACATAACGACTGACTCTTAACCTTTCAAAACTCCTAAACTTAATGCTAACCTTATGACTCATAAACTATCCATAACTGACAACTTTAAACACATTAAAGTAACATTTAACGTTTACTTAACAAAACTCCCCCGTAAACTTAAATGCTTCTTTAGTATTGCAGAAGAGTAAAACAAAGGATTTTTTCTAAGGCAGAAGTCGTAACTTTTACATTCAAACAATAGATTTAAATTACAAAACTTGTAACTCTACAATAAAGACACTTAACATCACAATAAACTCACATAATTTCAGAAACTTAAAAACATAAAACTGACATTTAACGTTTGCTGAATTAAACCCATTAAAAACTAAATTGATTGCTGAATTAAACCCATTAAAAATTAAACTGACACATAACTCCACATTTAACGTTTATTCAACAAAACTCCCCCGTAAACTTAAATGCTTCTGCCATCCTTCATGCCGATCAATTTCTTGTAGTTGTCAAGGAGTACCGTCGGTAGCGGTTTCATGAAGATATCCGCGACTTGCTCTTGACTGGTCACGTGTGTTAGCCCCACATTTCCTTCCTTTACTTGATCCCGGATGAAGTGAAATCGGACGTCAATATGCTTGCTTCTTTCATGATTTACCGGGTTCTTGGCTAGCTCTATAGCCGACTTATTGTCAATTCGGATCACAGTTTGGCCGACTTGTTTTTCCTCCAGCTTGCTTAGCAAATTCCTGAGCCACATTGCATGACAAACACACCAAGATGCAGCTACATATTCAGCTTCACATGTCGACAGTGTCACAATAGGTTGCTTCTTCGAAATCCAAGTGAATGCCGTGTTGCCCATGAAAAACA